TGGCCTTCACGGTTTCGTAGTAACGGCCATCGCTGCGAGATAATTTGGGTCAATTAACAAAATTCTTTCAGTTCGATTTCATTCATACCTCAAGACCATGCAGCGAAGCTTGAGACACTTGACGCGCAGTATATCGATTGCCTTCTGGCTCTTGTCGGAGAATCGCAAGTTGTCCGGATCCCAACGTAGCTCCAGACGCTCCAGATTGCCGCAGTTGGTGGCAATTGTGTCCATCAGCTGATCCACGTGTATATTGACGCCCAGCTTCTCGGCCGTACCCATTACGATTATTCTGTGTAGCATCAAATCTTAGTATGTGTACTGATCATTTGCCAATTAATACCCAACTCACTTGCAGTTGCCCAACATGGGGAGTATGCTCATCCAGAGCTGGTCCGTAATGTGGGGCATGCCGGACAGACAGCAGGCGCTCAGCTGGTGACCGTGGCGCTGCAGAAACTTGAGCATACCCTCGTCTGTGATGTTGTCCGAGGAGTCCAAGTCCAAGGAGCTGAGGGATCTGGTGGGGTAAGTTGATAAGTCATTGAATGTGATAAGTTACGCTAAGGCTTTGACCTGGTATTGCCCTGCTCCATCCATTGCTTCAATACGGTATCATTGAATCCATTGATTTGGCCAGCCGAGAGGAACTTCAGACTGGGTATACGAGTCAGCATGTCCACCAGGCACTCGGTGGTCAAGTCGGTGGCCGTTATATCCAGCTCCTGCAGTGCGCACTTATCCCATTCCACTTGCATCACAAACTCTGACTTCAGGCTGGTGCCATTCATCAGCAGGCAGGTCAAGCGCTTGGAGCGCTGCACCAAAGTCTTCAGCGTGGACCCGGTCACCTTGTTGCAGAAGTTTACCGCTAGGCACTCCAGCTGTATGCAATTGGAGCTGAAGGCATCAATGTGCGAGTCGTCTATGAAATTGATGCCATACAGGTTGATTACACGCAAATTGGGCGTGGCCGATTTAAGTTTGTGCACATTGATGACCTCATAGATTTCCTCCTCCTCTTCCTCGCACTTCTCGTAGGTGCCAACCAGGTGGAGCACTTCCAGGCCGTTGATAAAGTTGTAGATCTTGCGCATAAAGCCCTCCATGAAGATCACCTCCGACAGGCAGATGCACATGTAGCGCAGCTTCGTAGGAAACGCCTGCATCTCGCTGAAGTCATGCAGCTGCATGGCTACGCACGGTAAAAGAGATTAGTTATTAGTTAGTGACGAAACGACTCAACTACTTACCAGTTGAGAAGTCCAGCAGCATGTGGGTTAGATTGGGACATTTAGCCGAGAGCTCGTGGAGCACCGTATGCGTGATCAGCTCGATGGGCAGCTCGATGTAGCGCAGCGTTGGCCCGAATCTCACCGAAATGAGAGAGAGCAGCATTTCCAGAGAGCCAACGTGCAGCCCCGATACCTCCGGACGCAGCGAAACATTCTTCCACAGACGCGTATCGTAGGCGATCTTTCGCCAGCGACGACAGATGCGGGCCAGACGACAAATCTCCCGATGCGACAGATACGAAAATATATGCAACAGCACCTTGTCGGGCAGCTTCTCAATTGTCTGTGGGAGAAACAAATCACATATGTATATATTAACCTGATCGATCCATCGATATCTGGATGGCTTCTTCCGATCTGTTAGCTACCGTATCTGCAAAGGGACTACGCATGGTGCCATCGGACAGGTACACCTGGGAGGCCTCTACGGCCAGCTGGCCCCAAATATCGGTCGAAATATCCATTGCTCTATATAGTATAGATGCTTATATAAAAGAAATATGCGAGTGCGAGCGAAACGCGCGTTGTCGAGCACCTTCAACGTCTGTCTATCTGAATTTCTGAATTAGCTGTGGCTACTTGCCGCTACTGCGAGGAATCTCCAAAAAGCCCACAAACATTTGACAAACTCGCTGCCAGGCAGCCAGGCAGCTAAAGAGAAGCACTATCGATCGAGATCCTATTTATAGATGAGCGCTAGTAATGTTCAGAGCAACCAAAACAACAAAATGCCAAGAATTTCTAGAGCAGATCATTGCGTTTTGGTGGTCAAAAGAGCGAAAAACTCTGGGCTAGATGAACAGCTGATGGGGTAGGCAGTAGACCGACCATATACCTAGCTCTTAAGTCTTGTATATAACATACATACATATGCATTTATATATGTATATACTGTGTACATAAAATGTATACAAACTGTGTATGCATCTCATACTACGCAAACGATTTAATTTGTTTTGTTTACTGCATGTTTTTTTTTTTTTTTTTTGTTGAGAGGGGAATTTCTTAGCGGTACTCACCAGACGCGTCTTGACCACCGTCTCATCTCGTCCAATCGCCTGGGATGAGGTTTGCGCTGCCAAAACGTTCCAATTATCCATAATGACTTTCTAATACTTAAAAAAGACTTGCGTGCGCTAATCTGGCTGATTGTTGCGGGGCTGGCACTCTAAGATCTATTGTCTGTATAGTATATGGGCGTGTATATGGGCAGGCATCGGCTTGTGTCGGTGTATTTATTGTTGCTATAAGTAGCCAAGGAATTCATTCATCAATAATGTTGATAATGCAAATTAATCATTACTCTATACTACGTATACTTAACTTAATGGCTCTATGGTCTCGAGATACCCTGGGGAATACATGCTTCTCGATATTGCAATATAAATGGATTACTAAAACTAATATAAATGAAGTTACTAAAAAGCAGTGCTTTACCAACAAAATTAAGTGATAATAAATGGATCATATTATAAACAGAATTTTTTAAATTAAATTTTTTTTTTGCCTATTCTTTATTAAAGTACTTAAAAATGTC